AAAAAGCAATTTAAACATTCATGTCCTCGAGCAAGAACACTCCATAGGCAAGTCCTTTAAGAGGTAAATATCACAGACAGATCATATTTAACAAGCTGAATTCACAATCGACAAGTAAGATATTCAAGAAACAGGTCAAGGCAGTCAGTTTTCTAGCAATGTCAATTTATAAGTTGAGGTTACTAGGTTAAGGCAGGTGGAAAAAAATAAAAGATCTTACAGTTGGTTATCAACAAAGTGTCAGGATCAATAAAGCAGAAAAAATATAAACATTTCCATATAGGAACATACTCCAAGAGAATAAAGCCAGATGAAAAATGTTTCCAGAGGAAAGCAAACATTAATCAGGAATATTATTTAAAAGGATTTATTCATTAAATGAAAAATAGATTCTATATACCTGATCTGAAAAAAAACAAAAATGCCAGCTCAGCCATAGTTATAACTTGGCTTATTCTATATTCTATTTTGACATCTGCATTTTTATTAGGTACATTTTCTAGTTTACTGAATAAACCCTATTGATTAAATTACAAATCATATTAATTTTTAGATTTTCAGATTTCAATTCGGTACAGTTTGGTGTCTAGTGAATAACCTCCTAGTATTAATTAGTACAAAATCCAAAGTGTCAGTTACCTGTCAAACATAGTCAATGCTGGAGTAAAGCAACAGACATTTATAAAAATGTTGGCCTTAGATTTGAAATTTGTATAGATTTTTTTTGTGCCTGTTATAAAAGTGTTGTACTTTTAAACAATTCATTTCTTACTTTGCCTTTAAGAGACACTGATGGCCCTTAAGCAATGGGCTGTAGCACTGTTAACTGTTTACTTATTGTAAATCTGTAATGTGTTTTATCCGCCTCAGGAATATCCATTTCCGGCCTCAACTCTTCAGAACAAAACCCTTCATCGATTAAACCTTAAAGATAAATTCCTCATCTTGATTGCTTGATAAACCACTTTTTGTTCAATAACCCCTTTCTATGCACCATTGGACCTGACGTAGATTTGTTCAACAGACTTTGGCTTTTAGATACCCCTCTGTTTCTTGTCTAACTATTTTTGAAATTTGCTTGGAAAAGGCTCCGATTTATATAACCCCTAAAGGGTTATAGAGCTTCTGTCGTAAAAGGCCAGTATGATGGAAATTTTCCATCAAGTGTCATTAAAAGTTGCCTCTACTTTCCTGTATTATTTTATTAAGTCTGGACTCTGAACGGTTTTTCTTTTTTTTGTTCTAAATTTTGGATTAGGTAAAGCTTTAATTAATATACTTACCTGGATATTATTTCTTCAAGAAACATCTTTAACTGGATATTCTTGAATTCTTCATAAAATTCCATCAATCTTCTATAATTATGAAATACTCCTTCAAATCAGTTATAATATCATTTAGTTAACCTTCCATTTCTAAAAAATAAACATCAATATCGTGACTAGAAAAATCATAACAGATTTGCAGAACCTTTTTGTGTCCCTGATACAATGGAACCTGCTCAATTATCACAAGCAATTGAAGGTTTAAATCAAACAATTGAGAATTTAAAAACAATGTTTATATTTATTTGCTCAATATACACTTGAATTGCACATTACAATTTACAGACTCAAATAGACTCCCTTTCATCCTTTTCTGTTTACCCTATTAAAGACCTGAATGATAGCTTACCAGGGACATTTTCTGGGGATCAAGCTCTATTTAGAACCTTTCTGCAAGAATGTAAATTGATTTTTGCCCTAAAACCATGTACTTACTCAAATAATTACATTAAAACTAAAACATTTTTTTTGTTATTGAAGGAGATCATGGAAGGAGATCATTCCAAATGGGCATATTAATGATTAAAAACTGAACATAACTGTTGTCTAACTTAGAAAGTTTTTTTGTTTGAATTTGCTAAACTATTCAGAGATTCCAATAAATCTGACACAGCTGAAACAAAATTACACAATTTAATTCAAGAAAAAAAAATGAGGTTGAGGTCTGTATTAGACAATTCAGAAGGTGGTTCATTGAAATCTCATGGACTGAGGCTGAATTGAAATATTGATACAGAATTGGACCTTCTGCTTCATTAAGAGATAAGTTATCCTGAACTGGTATTCCAGAATCCGTTAACATTTTGATAGACCTTACTATCCTATTGCATAGAATGTTCTGTGAAAGAAGGACTAAAAGATGCACCTTATGTTTCAGAAACAATCATTGTCCAACAATCCTATTAAACATGTTTTTCTACCAGATTTACAAAAACCTGTGGTTGGTTCCATTAGTGAACCTTTTACTGAGAAGGAAAAAAAAGAACTCATAATGTATGCCTCTATTGTGCCTCTTCTACCCATCTACTTCCAAGATGATTTCTACACCAGAGGAGAGAAAGAGAAATTAATGAACTAGAGTAGAACCTTGCAATAGATGTTACAATAGACGAGAAAAAGACAGGAGCTCTCCACAAAAAAAAAATAGTGACATAGTATTAAAAAACAGACGTGATGCTCTGGCACATGACCAATCTGATTTTAGACAGAGTGATTTTTTAGGAAAACCAAGAGGGAAAGTTTATTTCTCACCCCTAAAAAGAAGGAGAGACAAAGAGGATGTAGAGAAGGAATCTGGTTACAGCAATGGAAAAAAAGGAAGAATGTTTAATTGGAGGGAGTGATTAATTTATCTAATTTTAAACCTAATAATGATGAAATTAGGATTTTAAACAAAGCCCTCAAATTTGCTCCAAGTAAGAATTTTAATACATTTTCTGCTTATATAGACATATTAAAATATTCCAGAACTCATACCCTAAAAAGATTTTTTGAAATTAACAAATACACAGACAGAAGAAAAAGTGATAATCATACTGACTTGAAAAGTAAGTCGAACTTTTATCCTAGAAATTATAAGACGAGTGCTATAAAATCTGGTTGGAATAGATCGTATCGTCAATGTTGAATCTTCTTAATTTCTTCTGGTCTTCAGTTGATTGATACATAGGTCTTTTGCTCGCCACATTAATATATGTCTATAGTAATGAAACTAATGATACTAATACGCAAATCTGACTTACGGTTTCTTCAGGTTTATTCTTAGTTACGGATACATAATAAAACAACAAATGATGTTACAGGATAATGGACATTCAACAGCAGATGGTAATTGCTGGACTTCTGAAGGGAGAGTTACATCGGTGTACAGGAAAGAGAGCCAAGAGCCAAGAGACCTTGTGTCTTTGTTCAGTTACTATATAGAAGTGCCATAATGACGTCAGACTATAACTCTAGCCATATAAGGACAAGACCCCCAAATCCACATTCCAGAGCTCTCAGACAAAGAAAGCCTTGTGACTTATACCATTTGTTACTTATGTCAATCCACACATCCATATTTAATCAATAGAAACATAGAGTATACAATATTCTACAAGTGCCATAGATATATTTGAAAAATCAGTTATTGAAGATTTTGATAAATTAGAGAAAATTTACCTTAAATGCAACTCTAAAAATAATTTAAGTTTTAATGAATATAAAGCCTTACAACAACTAAGAAATAATAGAGATATGATAATTAAGCCTGCCAACAAAGGGGGTAGCATTGTCATTCAGAATGCTACAGATTATTTAAATTAATGCTACCGACAACTGGAAGATAAAAAGATTTATATGGAATAAAAAAAAGACCCCACTTTAGTTATGAAGTCCTCATTAGATATCCTTTTGGAAAGGGGCAAAGAAGAAGGCATTCTAAATGAGGATGAATATACCTTTTTAAAAGTAGAATTTCCAAGATTGCCTGTTTTTTATACTTAACCAAAAGTACATAAAGATTTGGAAAATCCACCAGACAGGCCAATTGTGTCTGGTATTGGATCAATTTCGGCCAATTTTTATAAGTACGTGGATATCTGGCTGCAAAATTTAGTAAAAGAAAAGCCCTCACATGTAAATATTAAATATTAAGTGGGAAGAAGGATATTTTTTAGTAACTTCTGATGTAGCGGCACTTTATACTTCTATTACCCACGAATTAGGCTGGAGGACAATACAAGAATGCTTATTAAAACCTGGAAATTTTAAAGACAACCACATTAAATTTTTAATTGATAGTATTAGATTGATTTTAGAGAATAATTATTTTGTTTTTAACTCTAAGTTTTATTTACAACTACAGGGCACTACTATAATGGGACCAGGTTCACCCCCAGTAATGCAAATTTATTTATGTCTGGCTGGGAGACTGCATTTATTTATAATAGCCAGGCATGGGCGACGAACATGGTCACTTACCATAGATATATAGATGACATTTTCTTCATATGGAAGAGCTTGCAAAAAGACCTTGAAATTGTTCTGGAAGGTATCAATCGTAATGATTGGGGTATACAGTTCAATAGCCTATTTAGTAATTAATTTCTTATATCTTGAGATTTATGTTGATGCTGGTAATTTAAAAACAAAAAATTTCTTTAAGAAAGTAGATGCCAAGCATTTATGAGCAAATTAATAACATCCAAAAAGCTTTTAATCATCACAGTGTATCTGCTCATTTTAAGAAATACCACAATAGAGACCCCAGTGGCTTAAAGGATCACTATGGTGTCAGGAAAACAAACCCGTTTTTCTGACACTATGTCATCCTTGGGGGACCCTCACCCCCAGGGTCCCCCTCCCATTAAAACCCCTTCAGCCACTTACCTTATTCCGGCGCCAGGCTCCCTCAGCTCTGGTGACCTCTCCTCCCCTGCCGACGTCAGCGGATCCGAATGCGCATGCGCGGCAAGTGCCACTCGCGCATCCAAAGTCTCCATAGGAAAGCATTTCTCAATGCTTTCCTATGGACGATCTGCGCAATGGAGGCATAATATGCCTCCAGCATCGCAGATGCACCTCTAGTGGCTGTCCCGAAGATAGCCACTAGAGGCTGTCTTAACCCCAAATGTAAACATAGCAGTTTCTCTGAAACTGCTATGTTTGCATCTGAAAGGTTAAAACCTGAGGGACCTGGCACAAAAACCACTTCATTGAGCTGAAGTGGTCTGGGTGACTATAGTGACCCTTTAACGTTTTTAGGTATACAAATGGTTAAAAAAATCCAGGTGAGGCGGAAACTACATCCAACAGTTAGGGAGAGAGGAGATGAAATGGGTTCAAACACTGGAAACTCTTGAACCTAAAGGACTTAATATTGAATTTGATTTATATAATTCCTTTTAATTTTCTAATCAGTTTTTGTAATTTATATAGTATTCATTGCTGTTTTTTATAACATTGAATATACTGTTTGCAATACTAATGTTCCCCTCTTTTTCTCCCCTTATAGTAGATTCTCCATTTTTCTCCATTTTTTAATCTATCTTTTTAAAGTTGACACATTCTTCTCCATATGTAAAATATATGTTTTCTAAGATATATTATGTATTTTGATGCCCTCTCTAATTTTTATTCATTTATTTTTAATCTGTGATATATATACTATGTATTTCTGTGATTTGTGAGTATTTTATGGCTTTTGTCAAAATCAGTGTTTAGTTGATAAGCCAGAAAGACTATGGACTTTGGAACTAATATGTAGTCATTTAAATTTGGAGTTTTCAATAAGAACCAATGGTGAAGGGATTATCACATACCACGCCTTAAAAGAACTGGACAGCTGAACTGTGACATGATCTGAGTAAGCCGCCCAGGCGAAACGCTTCATCACGTCCTTGTATGCACGATGTCATCACGCTATCACGTGGTCGTACGTAGCTCCATTTTCCAGGAAGAACCCCCTGCAGTACCGCCTATTGTGTAAGACTGCTAATGCTAGCCTCGGTTCTTTTTTACTGTACTTCTAAGGGCTATGGACTTTGTTATGGAATAGAGAGCGTTTTTACTTTGTGAATTTTTAATCATACGGAAATAAAGTACCATTTTATATTCAGCTGTTGTCCTGAATACCTGCCAATATCCAGTCCTGTCTTGTGAACCAAAGCCTGAAAAGTTAGAGCAGACTTTCACTGCTCTTTCCTTGTAAGTTTCATTTCATCCATTGATTTATATATTGCATACTATACAGTATTATGCTATGTTTTTTCCCTTTTTCTCTCTTTCTATGTATTATGTTCCTACATATCCCTAGAGTGAGTAGTGTGATATTCCTACTCTTCCTGTAAGTTATTTTAGTGCATTTTATCACAGTATACACGTGTGAATTTGCACATCTATGTTAATATCATTACATTTGATATTGGTTGACTCTATATTGTGCATTGCACTGACACTTTTCACTTTGTTGCACTTTAAGTTTTTAAAAGTATAGCGCACCTTTTTTATCTTGTATACACTTCCTATATGTCTGTTATCCAGAAAAAACATTAATATGTAAGGGACAATTGTTTCTTTAACTACCTTTACCTTTGACTCAGGGGCAACAGGTAGATTTCTTATAGACAAATACACGAAATAATTCCATCTGATGGCTCAAAATAAAATCTAGGTCTCGTTTCACATCAAAGAAATCCCTATTCAAACTATTATAAATGTCACATCAAGGGTACATAATTCATTGTTGCACTATAGAATATTGCCATTTAATGTAATTTGTGTAGTGCATAGTTGAACTTGCTGCCTGGTAGAGGTTGTAGCGGATGGCACCAGGCGACCCTACAAATATACTGTATATACCTGCATTCGTGTATCTGCTGTATTTTCATTTAAAAAGAATTGTATTCCTTTGATTGTTCGGTAGTTTCATTCCCTTAGTTTATTCGAATGAAACTACCGAACAACCAGACCTCCCCTGTGTGAAGTGTGTCCTCAATTACCCGTTGCAACATTGTTGCGAACGTGTAATTGAATAGTAAGTAGCCGTCCTTTGTTCTCGGGGGGTGGCCGCCATTCGACAAACGAACACGTGGCGGCGGCCATCTTAAAACTCCCGAACAGCGGTGTTTTGCCGTCGAGTGTCTGGAACTAAAATCGGACACTCGAGTAGGCGAACACCGCTGAGACCTCCACAGCCCTGGTCCGTTCGGTTCCAAACTACCGAACGGCCCCTCGTTCGGTAGATAGAAAATACCGAACGAGGGGATTCAGGCGAACCCTCCCTAGCCTCTATAGCTAGAGGCTTTCGTGTATTTTGTTCCCTTATGCCAGGACCGACCGCAGGGCCCATTCGCATGGAACCTTATTCGGCTATATCAGTTAGTGCAGTCGGTCATTTTATTCCATCCATACATTTCCCGAACCCCTGGTCTGATCTGGGTGATTTTTGGATATGTTGTTCACCCAGATCAGGGGTATCCGGGGATGTAGGATTTAAAGAGGTACCCCTACGTTTAGGGGTACATCCAGAAACGGGGGGAATTGGTGTACTGGATAAGGGGATTATGATGCTGGCTGAGGGGAGGAGATGTGTGGGAGGTTACCAGGACAGGATTGGCTACTGTAATAATTACTGTAAATCCCTCCCTTGCATGGGAGCATGCTTTATAAGGAGACTGTGATTAAAGGCTTGTCAGTTATGCTCCTGAAACTGTGTGTCGTCCAGTTATTGGGATTGCTGTTGGGATATTGCTGTATTTTACCTGCTGGAAGCCTTGCCTGTGGATTTACTATTTACTTGTTCCTGAGCCTCACTTGGATTACAAGCGGAGATATCCTGGGTAATATTGCATCTCCGCTACATTGGTTGGCAGCGCTGGGATCCAGACTCACAGAGGAACAAGCCTAAATGGAGTACGGATGGAGATTGATTTTGCCACACTAAAACGCTCCACGCTAAAAGACCTTCTGGAGGCAAGGGGTATACAAGCCAGCAATAAGACAAAAGCGGTACTCGTTACTGAACTGATGGCGGAGTACCGAATGGACGGCGATTCGGTTCCCGAACAGGGGAATTCGGGAGAGACACCGGAACAAAGGGAGTTCCAGAGGCAGGTACAATTTCGGCTGTCTTTCTATGGGGAACACCCTCCAACAGAGATTGTGTCAAAAACGATGACGGAGGTCCAGGAATTTATACTGAGGAGTCAAACTGCGGCCCCAGAACGCAGCTCTGCAGTAAATATGCCACAGGAAGGTAAGCCTAAAATACCGTACCAGGCTTTTAAAACATATGTGGAGGCAGAGGAAGATATAGACGCTTTCCTGCAAGATTTTGAGAGACTGTGTGCACTGCATAGAATCAGCGCAGAGGACTGGGTACCTATTTTGGCAGGGAGGTTAACTGGGAGGGCAGCTGAGGCATACCGTACTGTGCCTAATGAAGAAATACGGAATTACAATAAAGTGAAAGAAATTATATTGGCCAGGTATGCTATAACACCAGAAGCATACCGGCGGAGATTCAGGGATTTAAAGAAGGTGGAGAAAGACTCACACGCAGAGTGGGCATGCAGACTACAACGAGCAGTCTTGGGGTGGGTGCAAGCGAGCAAGGCACGGTCTATGGAGGATGTATTGCAAATGGTACTGCTGGAGCAATTTTATGAAGGAGTAACCAGCGAGGTACAGGAGTGGGTAAGAGACAGAAACCCTACCTCCCTTACCGAAGCAGCCAGGAAGGCAGATGAGTACCTGGATGCACGCAGGCAGCAAAAACCGGCAGCTCCAAAAGTACCTTTTAAAACCTTTGGGGGGAACAACTACACGCCAGCTTTACCAAGACCACTGCCACCACCCCCACCGCCCGCTGCACAGCCACGTTTCCGCCAGCCCACGTCGGGCCCGTGCCACCACTGCCAGAAATGGGGACACTATAAAAGGGAATGCCCCCAGCTGCGGGACTGTTCCACCTGGATTCGCCCCGGCCCACCACCACCACCGAGAGCAGCCGCAGCCCACCATTGTGGCCACACCGTATGGTTCAGCAGTTCCCATCACAACGGTAGAACAGTGGGAGGTACTGCACAAGGCGGATCCCGTCCAGGCTAATGCTGACAACCGCCAGCATCACAGGCAGACCGTGTATCTGGAGGGTAAAGCGGTTCAGGGGCTACGTGACTCAGGAGCCACCATCACCCTGGTAAAAAGTCATCTAGTCTCAGACCAGGCTAAACTAAATAAGACTGTGGCCGTCAGGGTAGCCGGGGGAGCAGTATACCGGCTACCTACAGCAAGGGTACATTTGCATTGGGGAGCGGGGGCAGGGCATGTGGAGGTGGGGTTGATGCCGCAGTTACCGGCGGAGGTTTTGTTGGGGAACGATCTGGGGAGGCTCACATCTGCTTTTGAGCCGCAGACACCCACCACAGGAGAAGCTCACCCTGTGGTCACGCGACAACAGGCCCGCACCCAGGACTACAACACACTCCCGGAGGTTCAGGTAAGAGATCCTTCCCCTTCCCTTGACTGTGTTCCCTGGGTCCCTACTAACGAATTTGCAGCTGAAGTATTGACTGACCCCACCTTGCAGGTGTATAGGGACAAGGTGACAGCAGACACTCCTGGGGGGGAGGGCGAAAGGTTTATTTGGGACAAACAGCTGCTATATCGGGAGACGGATAAGAAGGTATCCGGGTCAGACCCGATTGTGATGAGGCAGTTAGTGGTACCTCAGCGGTACCGGGCAGAGTTACTACAGATAGCCCATGACATTCCGCTATCTGGACATTTAGGGGTCATCAGGACCCGATACAGGTTAACCTAAAGTTTCTTTTGGCCGGGGATTAGCCAGGAGGTGCGCAGATATTGCAACACGTGCGATACCTGTCAAAGGGTGGGGAAAAGGGGGGACCGGCGCAAGGCCAAGTTACATCCCCTTCCCATAATCGAGGAACCCTTTAGCAGGGTAGCAGTTGACCTAATAGGACCCCTCAACAAAGCAAGCCCGTCAGGTAAAAGATTTATCCTGACAGTAGTAGATTATGCCACTAGATATCCAGAGGCGGTGGCCCTGACGAATATACAGGCGGAGACAGTAGCAGAAGCCCTGATGAAGATATGCTCCCGGGTGGGACTCCCCAGGGAGATTGTCTCCGATCAGGGCACCCAATTCACTGCCGAAGTCACGCAGCGCCTCTGGAAGTTTTGTGACATTAAGCCTGTCATTAGTTCCTCTTACCACCCCCAGACGAATGGGCTCTGCGAACGTTTCAACGGTACATTGAAACAAATGCTCCGAACCTTCGCAGAGACCCACAAGGACTGGGAGAAGTTCCTGCCACACCTCCTCTTTGCTTACAGGGAGGTGCCGCAGGAATCCACTGGGTTTTCCCCATTTGAACTATTGTTTGGCCACAGGGTACGAGGGCCTTTAGATTTGATCAGAGAGCATTGGAGGGAGAACGGAGCACTGACGGTACCCCCATCATACCATATGTGTTGGCATTCCGAGACCGCCTTGAGGCCTTAACTCAGGCGGTACGCGAGAATTTGCAGGCGGCTCAGACACGCCAGCGCACATGGTATGATCGGGGCGCCAGGGACCGTAGCTTTCAGGTCGGGCAGAAGGTGTTGATCTTAAAACCTGTCCGACACGATAAGCTGCAGGCCGCCTGGCAGGGCCCTTATAAGGTGGTAATACAACGGTGTGACACCACTTATATAATCGGCTCGTGTGTTGGTACTGGGGGGCGACGCATGCTCCATGTAAACATGATGAAGCCCTACCAGGAGCACTCTGAGGAAGTGACCGCTATATGTGCGCCTAACTCCGAGGAGTTTGACAGTTTACCTCTCCCGGATCTGCTGGGAGAGGGTCAGTTATCCAGGGATCGGTTGAGCCCACAGGAGCGGAGCGAGGTACAACAGCTGTTGAGGGAGAAGCAGGATATCTTCTCTAATGTACCTGGTTACACTCCTCTGGCCACTCACAGAGTAGACACCCCAGGGCAAATTCCCATGCGTCAGACCCCGTACCGCATCCCAGAAGCGGTACGGGCGAACATGCGCAAGGAGATAGATGAGATGCTCCAGCTGGGGGTGATTGAGCCCTCCGACAGCCCCTGGGCATCTCCGGTAGTACTAGTACCAAAGCGGGACGGCACGACCCGGTTTTGTGTAGACTACCGGAGATTAAATGAGAAGACGGTATCTGACGCCTACCCCATGCCCAGGATAGATGAACTCCTGGATAGGATGGCGAGGGGGCACTATCTCACCACGATTGACTTGTGTAAAGGGTATTGGCAAATACCCTTGGCGCAAGATGCCATCCCTAAGTCGGCCTTTGTCACCCCATTCGGCTTGTACCAATTTAAGGTCATGCCGTTTGGGATGAAAAACGCCCGGCTACTTTTCAGCGGATGGTGGACCGCCTCCTGGATGGGTTCCAAGATTATACCTGCGCATACCTCGATGATATTGCCATTTTCAGCAATACCTGGCAGGAACACCTGACCCATATAGGAGCGGTCCTAGACAGGATTAGGGCCGCTGGTTTAACACTGAAACCAGCCAAATGCAGCATAGGCATGGCTGAAGTACAGTACCTAGGTCATCGGGTAGGATGCGGCA